GGGCGAGGGGCGGGGGAGGCAGAAGGAAGAAGTTTGCAAACTAAAGAATCAAGACAGCAAGGCAGACGCTGGGCTACAAGGAGTTAAGTGACAAAAGTATCTGACAAGGATGAACTAACAGAAGCCAGGTCAGGAGGGGTCTTCAATGCCAAACATGTGCTTTTAAATTTATCAGAAGTGTGGTGCAGGTGCTGGGGTCACACTGGGTGCTTTTACTTACTGTGACCTCAGGGAAGAAAATGTAATATCTCTGAATATCATCTGTAAAATGGTGATAACGTCAAAAGTAACTGCAATAAGGATTAAATGTCGAGACCTGGTAAGTCTATAGCAGGAGTTTTAATTGAAGGGTTAGAAACCTGGGAGGTATATGTTTTCTTTTTTATTGCTACAAAATGGATTACCATGAACTTGGTAGCTACACATGATTTCACTTTTCTGAAGGTCATAGGTTGTGCTTGGCTTGACTGCTCAGTGCCCTGGGCTAAAGGCAGGGTACTCCAGCTAGATAGAGAGAGAAGCCACTTCAAACCCATTCAGATGTGTTTCCAGAAACCACTTCAGTTCCGTTATTGCACAGAAGTCCCCATCTTCTTGGTGGCCTTCATCAGAACCTCTCTCAGCCTCTTATAGATTCTTCCCAAGCAGCCGTGTCTGCCCCATTTAAAGTAGTAATGGCAGGTCAAAATCACCCAGTCCTCTTGGCTTCTAATCCTGGCAGCACCCTTTGCTAGCAGTGAGAGAAAATTCTGCTTGAAAAAGGCTGGCTTCATCAGGCAGACCCACCTAGAGAAACTCTCTATATTAAGGTCGTCTGATTAGTCACTGTGCTGGCTACATTTATGTCAACTTGACACAAGATAAAATAATCAGAGAAGAGGGAGCCTTGATTGAGAAAATGCCTCCATACAGTTGGGCTGTAGGCAAGCCTGTATGGCATTTTCTTAGTTAGTTATTGATGGCAGAGCTCCCAGCTCATTGTGGGTGGTTCCATCTCTGGGCTGGTGGTCCTGGGTTCTATAAGAAAGTAGGTTGAGCAAGTCATGGGGAGCAAAACAGTAAGCAGCACTCCTCCATGGTCTCTACATCAACTCCTGCCCCCAGGTTCCTGCCCTCCTTGAGTTCCTGCCCTCACTGTTTTTTGATTATGAGTTTAATATGGAACTGTGTGTGAAATAAACCCTTTCCTCCCCAAGTTGCTTTTGCCATGGTGTTTCATCTCAGCAATAGTAACCTTAACTATATCTGCACAATCACCTTGACTGTGCGATATATCAGTCACCCAAGCAATATTGGGATGTGAGAGTGGTGGAGATATGAGGCCAGGTGGGATTCTTCCTGCCATGGAGCTTAATGATACCATGGTCAGATCTTCACTATTGAACCATCATATGGTGCAGGGACCATAGCACAGGAAGAGGATAGTGGCAGCCTAGATGGCCCTTAAAAGACTATCCCAGTCATGAAAAGAAGAGACGGTGGGCTACATTGCCTCTAGAAAGACAAATCAAGGTGGTATGTGCATGGTCATTTAGCAGTGTTTCGGAGTAGGTTCTGGAGTTCACCCCAACTACATTTGCATTGAGAATAAGGGAATAAAACAAACTCACCTCCCCTGGTCCTCTCACTTAGCAGAAGCAGACATCAGGAGTCAAGGGCTCCCACAGACCAAGCAGGTCGTTGGTTCGGCGGCAGATGGCAGAGGAGCACCTTCTACTCTAGCTTCATTCTGACACTAGATCTGTCTATTTGGAGAGATCACAGGTTGAGAGCTCAGTCCCTTAGGACTGCCTCCTACCTTACCTCAGATGACAGCTACAAGCCCAGGCTTGACCAGAGGGTCAGGTGGAGAGGTGCAAGGCAAAACATGGGAGAAGGAGTGGGGTGTTCACATGTCACCCTCCAGGAACCTCCATTTATTCTGCTATCCAAAGTTCTCCAAACCGTTGGCTTGGGGGAGTCCTGTGGAAGTGTCATTAGATAGGTATGATGGATAAAGGCATTGGCTATTGATGGCGAACTTAGCCTTCAGTCTCTTTTCCCTCCCAGGATGTTGAGGAATGGGAATGAGGGTTGCAGCCCTCCGAGGCAAAAAAAAAAAAAAAAAAAAAAAAAAAAAAAAAAAAAAAAAAAAGCTTGTCTGTCATTTTCATCGTTCTGGAGCTATTTTCAAGATTCAAGGACAAAAGAGCAAATGTTTGCCCCCCCCACGCCCTTCTTGCTATAAATCATTTAGGAAATTACAAAGACTACAATGGCTTCAAGCCAGGAGCTGGTGAGCAAAAAGAAATATGTGCAGTCACGAACTGCATAATAACATTCCTGCCAAGGGCAGACCACATATTGGGTGGTGGTCCCATAAGAACAGAATGGAAGAGCTCAAAGGTTCCTGTGGCCTAGGTATGCTGTAGCCATCATTATGTCACCACACACTCTGTGGGTCATGTGTGAATACAAACAAATCTGCCATTCTGCCAGTGCTAAAAAAGAAAAATACATGCACTTACTACTCAATAATAGAAATAAATAACTGTGTTTGTTTTGCCTTTATGGTTTGTGTTCTTAGTATGCTGCACTCTTGGTTGTTATTTCAGAGTGAACTTGTACTTACAAGGACACAGTTGGCTACAGAACAACACACTGTCTTGTGCAGGAAGCAGCTCAGGCATCTCCTATTTACTGTATCACTCCACTGCAAGGCCTTTGCTTATGCTTGAATTCATCTTGTGTTGTTTTGTCTTGCATCAATAGGTGTGTGTGTGTGTGTGTGTGTGTGTGTGTGTGTGTGTTGGCTATACCATCTAGGTTTGTGTGAGTATACTCAGCATGCTTTCACAGTGACAAACTCACCCACTACTGCATTTCTTAGAATGTATCCCTTCATCCCATTGTTCAGAAATATAAAACTGTATGTCATATGGACTCAAAAGATGACTCTGTAGTTAAGAGTGCTAGCCCAAAACTACAGTTTTGAGGAATCTGACCCCTTCTTCTGGCCTCTGTGGGCTTCTCTACACATGTTGTACAAATAAACTTCTGTAGACATTCATATAAAATAAGTAATTTAAAAAAAAACCCATATACCATATCACAATTGCCACAGGTTTTGTAAATCATGATCTTCTCATCTGGGTAAAGGAACAATAGCAGAACCTTTATAGAGTTGACATTACATGGAACAAAACAATGTACAGTATATAAAATACCTGTGTCCAGGTTAATCATTGTCAACTTGACTGGGCATGGAATCACCTAAAAGACACACCCCTTGGCACATCTGTGAGGGTGCCACCAATGAGTAGCCGAGGGGGAAGACCCACCCTAAATCTGGGCAGCACCATCCCGAGAACTAGGGTCCCAGAACAAAAACAGCTTAACAAACACTAAATAAAGCACAGCACAAGGAGGCACACAAGGAACACTGGCTATTCTTGTAGCAAATTAACAGAGACCATGGGAATACCCACCCATTAAGAGATTACTCCACAGACAAGAAGTTGCCCCTAGCTCTGAAAGTTTGGAGCAATTAAATCTGGTAAAATAGATTTATTGTCTAGCAACAATGAATCCCCAACATGCACTGGCCCCATGACAGTTTCAGAAGGATACATGGGAGAGGATCTTGCTTATATTTTAAAAGATACACACAGAACACATTTGCACAGAATAAAATTGCTCTCTGTGTTTTCCAGGAGTTCAGACACCTGTATGGACATGCATAGAGAATGGTCCTAACAAACACTCAGCTCAAAGCTCCTGGTAGAGGGGCTGTGAAATTTAGCTTCATGTCGTAATGATTTTACAAGAATTTAGTCATCTATTAACAATGCAGTCACAATGAGTAACTTTTGCTCACTTGCTTGCTTGCTTGCTTGAAGCAGGGTCTCACTCTGTAGCCCAGACTGGCCTTGAACTCCAGGTGATCCTCTTGCCTCAGCCTCCCAAGTGCTAGTATCACAGGCATCCCCCACACCCATCTCTGTGATGTATAACTTTCAAAAGTGAAGATGCCAGAATTGGGATCACTAACAACTGCCGGTTCTCCTTTAGTCCCCTCCATTACCTGACTATATCTCGTTTCTGTGGTACCAGCCACTATATAGCTATGTCTGTTCACTTCTCCCTATAGGGCATCATGTGTCTCCCAACGTTGTGCTAATGCTTGTGAGAATTACGATGCCCCTGGCAAAGGGATCGAGGGCAGCATGAGATTAACAGTGTGTGCCTTACACAGCTTCACTCCTCTCTCTCCAGGGACACTTTCCAAATGCATCTCAGTTCTCAGAGGGGTGGCAGAGCCCTTTGTGAAATTCCTATGTTGGCTCTCAAAGGTGGCTCGTCATTCGAGCCTGTGGGAGTGTTTTCAGTCGTTTACCTTTGTAAGATCTATGAGAGGTAAAGCATAGCTCTCTTACCATGAGAAAACTGGGGCCAGAGGGGAGGGGCTGGCTAGTTTCCCAGCTCACACAGCTCTGCGGAAGTTGGCATTTCTCTGGAACTTTCTACCTTTCCAGTCTGTCAGTCAAGGTTCACAGCCGTCCGGAACACCCCAAACAGGAACTTCCGCCCTTAATTATGTTGAGCCACACAAAAACGTGACTGGATTTTATTGACTGAATTGGTTTCTTGTAATGATTAGCTCCAGAAAATTATTTGGCAAACTGTTTACAGAAACTTGTGGCTCCTCTCAGACTTGATAGAGCTGAGCACCGCTACTCTTGTGCACCTTACAAACAACCCCTTCTCTGACCAAGCTAAGCCCAGGGCTGGAGCATGAATGCTGGGCTGTCATCACTGGAACAGAAGGCTTCTTAAAGTGATGAGAAATCTGGCATGG